TAGGATGTATGCCTAGGAATGGGATTGCATTTTGTAGTGCTTTTTTTTGTGGTGCTGACATTTTCATTGTTCCTCTTACTCTCCTGTGCTGAGTTCCTTTTGTTTGTGGATTTTTTTTTTTCATTTCTTTTGTTTTTGTAGATTTTGTTTTTACTGAGACTTTATGTTTTTCTTCTTTACTTTGATGAGTAAGTTCATCAACTTTCTTTGTAGTTACCTTGACATTTACCCTTATCTTCCTAGATTTGAACCAGTCTATTATTACTTGGTATTGCTTGACTTCCTCTCCATTAGAAGGTTCTATACCTACACCGTTTAGTACCTCTTTTATTGTTTGGATGCTGTTGTCATTTACAGATTAACGTCTCTGGTTCCCTTTTTTAATTCTTTTGGTTTTGCATAGTCTTTAAGAGTTCATTTCCTAGGTTGGTATCTGGCTAGTACAATCCTGGGTCCTATATTCAGCCTTTGGTCTGATGTTGTTTGTTCTCAGATCGAAGGACTTCCTTTAATAAGTCTTCTAAGTTCAGTTCGGTTTTTACATAGTCCCTTAATTTCTGTTTATCTGGAATGACCTAATTTCAACATCATATTTGAATGAGAATTTCGCAGGATATATTATTCTTGGTTGACAATTTTTTTCTTTCAAGGTTTTATATATGTCATCCCATTGCTTTCTTGCCTGCATGGTTTCTGCCGAATAATCCAAGCTTAGTCTTATTGTTTTTCCTCTGTATTTGTCTGTTTGTTTTTCTCGAGCTGCTCTCAGGATTCTTCGTTTGTCTTTAGTTTTAGTGAGTGTGATTATGATATGCCTAGGTGATTTTCTTTTGGGGTCTATCCAATATGGGGTTCATTGAGCTTCTTGGATGTTCTGCTTTTCATCTTTCATGATATTGGGGAAGTTTTCTGTCAGTAATTCTTCAATGATCCTCTCTGTGTTTTCTGTTTTCTCCCCCTGTTCTGGAACTCCAGTCACTCGCAGATTTTTGCTTTTGATTGTATCCCACACAATTCTCAGGGTTTCCTCATTTTTCTTTGTTTTTTCTGACTTTTCCTCAGAGTTGTATCCAAGTGTTTGTCTTCAATTTCACTGATCCTGTCTTCCATCATTTCAAACCTGCACCTCAACCCTTCTATGACACTGTCCATTTCTGAAATCTTGTTGTTTTTCTTTTGAATTTCTAATTGTTGTTTTTGTATGATTTCTAGATGTGAATTTATTTTAGCATTTTGTTCCTGTATTATTTTCTTAAATTCTTCCATATTTCTTCTGTATTTTCCATGAATTTGTCTGCCTTTTCCATGAATTTGTCTATTCTTTCCTCATTTTTGTCTGTTTTTTGCTTCAACTCTTGGATAATTATGAATATTAGAGATTTGAATTCCCTATTAGTTAGGTCTAGTGCCTTTTCTTCTACTGAAAGGTCATCTGGTGTTTTATTTTGGACACCTACTGGAACCATCCTGTCTTGTTTTTGTAAATGTTTTGATATTGTCTGCTGTCTTTGGGGCATTCAGTGGTTATTTTCCTCATTTATTGATTGTAGATTTGTTTGTTTCGTCCTGCTTTTTTGTTTTATTTTGGTTATGTCTGAGCACGCGGTCTGTGTGTTCTTTGTTGTTTGCTCGTCTGTGGGCACAATACTTTTCACCTCCTTCTCCAATGGGCAGGGTCAGTCACTCACGTATGGTATAGCAAGGCAGGTCGAGCGGAAGGGGAGATGCTGAGATAGGTTTTTTGTGGCACGTACCAGGGCTGACAGTGCAGGCTGGGAATCAGTGCAGAGCAGGTTCCAGTAGGCCATGCCTGTGTTGCTTGGGAATGTGATGTTCAGCACACTTGCAGGTAGGCAGGAAGGAGGGGGTAGATTGTGACGTGTGGAGCTAAGCTGCTTATGGGAAAGAAGAGAGAGAGGAGAGAGGAACAGGAGCCAAAGACACACACACAAACAAAAAAGAGCGCTAAAGGAGCTTGCTATTGGAGTGGAGAGATGAGAGACTGAGAAATGGGGAAAAACAAAAAGGAAAAAGGGTAAAAGAAAAAAATGAATAAATCAAGAAACTGGAAATGAAGAAAGACAAAAAGGGAATGAGAGAAGAAAACTAAACAAAGAAATGAAGAAAAAAGAAAAGAGAAATGCCCCCAGGGATGTCTCTATGCGTCTGTGCAGAGTAAGGGACTAGCTTCCAAGCCACTCAGTACTGCCCGGCTAGAAGGGGCTCCCAAGTCAAGAAAAGAAAAAGAAAACAAACTAATCAGAACAAATCAGAGCAAACAAACAAACAAAGAAAAAAGCCCCAGGGG